CTTTACAGTTGAATGCCAACGAATGAATGTATAAAGAATGACAGAGCTGGAAAAATCACCCATGTTGCAACCAGCTTAGTATTAAATAATAACTGAATCAGGCAACAATCACCAAATGGATACTAAAACTAGTGGGTTGAAATTTGATAAAAAGCAGAGAATTTATATAGTCTCAAAATATTAATTGCGAAGAAAAAATTGGAACTTTCAGTGGAGGAACCCAGCAGATGCATCTTAACCAAGCGATCAAAGTCGACATCACCAGTAATGCGATATACCAACATCTTGTGTCTCCCAGTGTGATGCACTGAGCACACATTACTTCTGAAGTACTCCTGCCAAAAATACAAAACCTGAGTAATGAGGAAACATCAGACAAATCCAAATTAAGAGACGTTCTTCAAAATAATTGGCCTTAATACTTCAAAAATGTCAATATCATGAATGATAAAGGAAGGCAGAGGAAATGTCTCAGATTTAAAAAACTGAAGATTATGTCGACAAATGAGGAGGGTGGAAAATCAGAATAAAAAATAAAAAAATAATAAAAAAGATAAAAAACTAAAGATTAGATATGAGAAACTAAATGCAGTGTGTGATCTTGGATTGGATACTGGGTTATAAAATAAAGTGCTTTATGAAAATTTCTGAGACAATGGCAAAATTGAAATGTGAATTATAGTCATTGGGTGATATTATATCAATGTTTCATTTCTTGGTTTTAATAATTACATATACTGTATTTATGTAAGATGATGCCTTGATCTTAGGAAATGCACACTGAAGGCTTAGGGGCAAAGGGGTACATTATTTGCAGCTTATTTTCAAATGGTTAAGAAGTAACAACATGCAAGAGAATGACAAAGCAAATACAGCAACATATTAGCAGATGGGCAAATCGGGATGAAGGGTATATGAGGTTTTTTGGTTTGTTTTTTATACCTATATATTTTTGAGACAGCGTATTATTCTGTTGCCCAGGCTGGAGTGCAGTGGCATTATCATAGGTCACTGCAACCTCAAACTCCTGGGCTCAAGTGATCCTCCTTCCTCGGCCTCCTTAGTAGTTGGGGGTATGGCCGTGTGCCACTACACCCAGCTAATTTTTCAATTTTTTGTAGAGACAGGGTCTCGAAATGTTGCTTGGGCTGGTCTTGAAACTCCTGGCCTCAAGTGATCCTCCTGCCTCTGATCCCTAAATTCATTTTTTTTTTTCTTTGAGATGGTCTCACTCTGTTGACCAGGCCAGAGTGCCACGGTGTCAGCCTAGCTCACAGCAACCTCAAATTCATGGGCTCAAGCGATCCTCCTGCTTCAGCCTCCCAAATTACTGGAACTACAGGTGTGCACCACCATGCCCAACTAATTTTTTTTCTTTTTAGTAGAGATGGGGGTCTCACTCTTACTCAGGCTGGTCCTGAACTCCTGACCTCAGGGCATCCTCCCACCTCATCCTCCCAGAGTGCCAGGATTACAGGTGTGAGCCACCACGCCTGGCCTCCCTAAATTAATTTCTGCTGGGCTTTTTGAAATAGCTTAGAGACTGCCATCATCCCCCTCCAAGGAGGTCTAGAGCGGCATGTGCCAACATCCTAACCGTGCTTCTCTGGAACCCTCTCACCAAGTAGCCTTGGGTCTCCCATGTCTATGGGGAGGCTGGTATGGGGATCTTGTGGGGGGCACACCAACCTGCGCTGGCCAGCTCAGCCCGTAGCTGGCCTATGTAGTGCAGCAGCTCCTCCAGGCTCTGCTCACAGTGCTGCCCATAGGTCAAGAACTTCTGCAAAACCTTGTCCAGCTCTCTCTCCACACACGCACACTGCTCCATGGTGGTCGTAGCCTGGGGAGGGTCATCTGGGTTAGGCCTCATCTGGGCCTGGGTGGCACAGTGGGGAGGGTACCTGGACCATAATCTCTGTCACCATTCCCATGTCCTACACCAACGCTCAGAAATTCCCTGCTTAACCGAATATAGCTGTGCACAGCCTCCCATCTCCCCCAGCTGGGGAGCGCAGTGGAGGGCGCGGGCTGGTATGAGGGCTGGGGTTTTCTGAATCATGGCAAGAAAACTGCTCTGTTTTCAACACTTTTCATGCTGTTATCCTTGTTCATCTCCCTGTTTAATCAGAAGGGAGAGCAGGCCTCACAGAGCCCACAGCAGGCAATACTGACTAGAAATCCATATACTATACATGGTCATAGTTCATGTATTTTCACATATTCGTTATAGCCACATTCTCTTACAGTTAGAGGAACTGTTTTTGCATGTACTACAGTGAAATATGCCATGAAGGCAGCCCTTGAATGGCTGGTATTTGGAAACTCAGCTTAGGGAATAACTGCCAACCGTGCTGACCTGACGGGCCTCGCCTACCACTCCAGCCTAGGCCTCCTGCGGTGCCCACCCATGGATGGCACCTTGTGTCTAGCCAACCTGAAGCCTTGCTCTCTTACAGCCCTGTGCCCTGGGCTGTTCTTCATCTCCCCTCACCTCCTGGACTACTCCAGAAGCTGGCCCATCCCTTCCCAGGCAGCTCAGATATCATCCCTAGCCTGCTCCCACCTGGCTCCCTCTGCCCTCACTTTGCACCCTCTGATGCCGGTTTTGATCACTGGGTAACGATCTGTCTGAGGGCCTGCCTTGCCCACCAGACTAGAATCTCTCTTGTTGTGACACAAACATCCCTCGTCATTATACCACTGAAAGAAGGGGCAGTGCTCCCCTCCATTCAGAGCAGCCTTTGACACTGAACACATGGACAATCCTCAAAATGCTGGTGAGAGCTGATTTCCCTCCCCATCCTTCCATCCATGGGATTTGAAACGAGAGGGCTGTCACATGTCCTTCTAAAACGTTCACATCTAGCCTGTTGTGCATTCTCTCAAAGAAAGGTATGGAATAACAACACAAAGAGAACCTTTAGGATGTGGGAATCTTAGCAGGTGAAAAAAAAAAAAAAAGAACCTTGTGTCGAAGGTGACCATCGGAATCCTCCCCACTTCACCACTCTCTTCCCCATTCCCAGCAGCACTGTCAGTCCTAGCCTCACCATCTTGGCCCACCTGTCCCTCTCTGGTAGAAAAATAAATAAAATGAAATCTAGGTAGAATACCATTTATGTAAATTGAAAAGATACGCATACAACCAAGGCAAATAAAAGATATACACCAAATACATCAGAGTGGTTTCCTATGGTGAGGAGAAAAGGGAGGAATGGAGACAAAAAGAAATACATAAATAAATGCAAAGGAGAAAAAGGCCCTGCATGGACCAACTAAACGTATCATGAACTGAGGAGTGTGATTAACTCAATACAATATTTAAAGATAAAATAAATGAGCTGGGGAAACAACTGTTTGCGGGCATTCCATCCAAAAAGCCCAGGAGGCTGATTCAGGCAAGTGACTGCGCATGGACCACAGTGGATCATCTTTACCAGGTGCCAGGATGTGTGAGCGTGTTTGCGTTTAACAAACTACATGATTAATACAAGTGCTGATGTTTTGAATTTCATGGGCACTGGTCCTAAGCCTTCCTCCCCAAGGTCTCACATGTACAAAAATTATCCACCAGGGTGATTTCTACAAAACGTGCATCAGATCCCGTTACCCTGTTGCTCAACACTACCACGGATTGACATACAAGCCCTTTGCAATTATACATTCGCTTCCTTTGCACAAGTCGTTCCTATTTCTAGAGTGTCCTCTGCACTTCTTTGCGTGGAGAACATAAGCTGTACTTTAATCATCAGCTGCCCATGAAGCCCTCAGTGAAAACCCCCTGCTTCCTTTTCTGCTTCACAAACCTGTCAAGGGTGCCCATACCACACATATCTGAGTCCCTACTGCTGCAGCACAGTAACTGTCTCTCGCCCTGGTCTGTGAGCTGCTCAAGGGCTGGAGTCTAGTCTCATCCTCTCTCTCCCCTCAGTGCCCAGTCCGGGGCCTGGTCCAAGGTGCTGCTCACTATGCATTTGCTGGTTACACAGAGCATTTATTTCCTAATCTTTGGCCTAGAGGGCTTGAGCTCAAATGGGGGTAGAAGGGGGGATGGCGATGGGAAGAAAGTGAAATATTAAAACCCCTGCCAAGTCGTACACGGAGATTTTGTCCTCAGTTGTTAGCATCCTGAAACAAGAGGGCTGCTTGGGCAGGGACAAGGGAACTTTGTGCAAATCATGGAAAATTCCCCTTTGCCAGACACAGAATTGGACAGCCTGCACTGACCCAATTCTTACACTTTGGCAGCCCCCACCTCTGTCCCTTCTCCACCCTACGTATCACTCCTCTGCTTAACACCAATAGGTTTCCATTGTACTTAGAACAAACTCCATGCTCCTATGGCCTGCAGGCTCTATGTGAGCTAACTCCCAACTATCTCTCCAACCTCATCTGCTACCACTCTCCCCCTCAACTGCCATACTCTGGCCACACCAGCCTTTTTTCTGTTTCTTCACTACATCCAGTTTACTTGTTTCAGGGCCTTTGCACTGGCTTTTCCCTCTGCCTGGAACACTCAAAAGCCTTTATTCGGGTCTCAATGCAGATGTCATGTTTTCAGAGATGCCACAGTATCTGCTGCTGACCTCTGCCCCACCTTACACAGTTACCCTGTCATGTTGCCCTGTTCCTTTTCTTCATTATACACCTTCTTTTGAAGCTTCTAATCTTTTTTCTCTCCTTAACCAAAACCAGAGGGAGGAAAAAGTCCATCTTTTCCCTGGACAGCAGCCCCTACTGGGAGTTTCATGTGCATTAACGTGCAAATGACTTACAAACTCCTCCTCATCCTGCAAAAGACCCTGTTCAAATGCCCTGCCCGGCCCCCGGTCCGCAGCTGGTTACCTCCGACCCAGGCGGGTCGCACTAGGACAGGACGTCTGAGTTCGAGCGATTCCCCCAGCTGAGGCGACTTTTCGAGGGCTGGGCCCGGGTCCTGTGAGTCCCTGGGACTCCAGCTCCGGGCCCGGGGCGACGACTGCGGAGACAGCAGCCCAAGAGCGGACTGGCGCGGGGGCTTAGTCGGGCGGGGGTGGCCGCCGCGCCCCGCCCTCCGCCCGCGCCTCCCGGCCCAGAGCCCGCCTGCCTCACCCAGCCCCGCAGCCCCAGCCCCAGCCCCAGCCCCGACTTCCGGCGTCGCCGTCATCGGAACCGGAAGCCGCGGCTGTTGCACGGTGAATCCGGACTCGCCCACTCGCGGTTCGCGGAGGGGTGGCAGCCTGGGAACGAGCCTTTCTCCTCCCCGCGTGACAGGAGTGGAGTCGCCCGCAGGAGCAGGGCGGCGGCCGAGGGAGCCGCGTCTCGCGGTCGGCTCGCTCGCGCGGTCCAGGGTCCCCCGGGGAGGCGGCGCCGCCACCTGGCCGTCCTCGGGCGCGCTGGGCTCCCAGCTTCGCGGCTCCGGGCCCTGAAGCCTCGAAGCCCGGACGGCCCTGCCGCCCCGCCCCGCCGGTCGAGTAGAGACGGCGCCGCACGGCGCGGTGCACGTAAGGGGACTGACAGGCGCTTCCCGCGATGGCTGCGCGGTACTTTCTTGAAATACCAGGCGGCCAGCCTGCTGCTCCTGCACCCGTACTTAACCTGCGCACTGGGAATTCTGCAGGAGAATTCGATTATCGGCGGGGGCGGGGCGCACGTAGCCCCTGCCCGCCGCCCTCCGTTGGTCGCTCTCCCTGGCGAGCCAGCAGGTGGGGTTAGGGGTTGCACGTCTGCCCTGGGAAGGGTGAGGGCTAGACAGGAGAGAGGCGGCGGTGACCCAAACCCAGGCCTGGCCTGAGCCCCCAGCCCTTCCCCCGGCCTCAGACTAGGACTAGAAACAGCCCAGCCACCTCCCGCTCCCTTTTCGGGCCGACCTCATTCAAGGCCACTCTACCCCGGAACCCTCCACGCCTCCCTTTCTCCCCCGGCGCCCTTACACAATCTTTTTTTGTTTTCTTTATAGCACTTGCACAATCCAGGTTTGGTTTGTTTTTTTTTTAATAGCACTTCACTTGAAATCATCTTGTGTGTTCATTTTGTTTATTTGTGGATTGTCGTCTGGCCCCTAACCCCGCCAACACCACTTTTAGGACAAAAGCCCACTGCAGTATCCCCAAACACCTCTTATTTGGAAACACAGGAGGTACTCGGAGATTCTCTAGGGAAGCCGGTATCTTCCACTTACAAACGAGAAAACCACGGCTCAAAAACCTCATGAAATACGTCTGGGAAGAGGGCGGCCCACAGTGGGACCGTGAGCCCGCCGGGCTTTGGGAAGGAGCACCCCGGAGATGCCCGCCGGGACACCGGGAGCGTGGGTGGCCCGGGCCCGACTCGGAAGCCGCGGGGGCGGAGAGTTGAGCGAACCTTGCCTGGAGCCAAGGGGCTCAGGCCCCCTCCCAGCCGACAGGACCTCACGGGCTTTGCCAACGCCCCCAGCTTCCCCACTTCCTCTCCGGGAGCCCAGGCCCGCCTCACAAACCAAGCTGCGAGCGGAGCTGGGCTTCTCCAAGAACTCACTCATCAGGAGCCTTTTAACCTTTGTCCTTGTTTTCCCGAATATGTGGCTAACATTGCACCTCAGCATTGTTACTTTCGGAAATGTACCAAGTTTTATTACATAGTAGATTTTGTCAGTCTTTCTTCACTGGGATTGTTTTTTGCTGGGGCGGGGGAAATTGCTTCAAAGCAGAGAAATTTAGCTGTTCTCCATTAGTTCAGTGATAATCTATTTAATTTTCTGCCAGTATAGGGGAGTTCTAAACGTTCCTTCTATTCTCTGAAGGTTCAATAATTTGTGTCTCTGGAATAAACTTGACGGTAGACAGATTAAAAGGAGAAAAGACAAATTTATTACCAGGCATGCGCGTGGGTCCCACGCAATGAGACTCGAATAAGGGCCAGAAGACTGCAGTTTAAAAAGCATTTAAACTACGGAAAGAAATGCGGGCTGGGGCTACAGGGGAAGGTGGAAACAGGTCTGGGAGGTTGAGGGGAGGAAATGCATGGTGAACAAAGGCTGTCTTATGCAGATAAAGTCTCTCAGCAGCCCTCCGAAGAGTTGATTGTATCTCCTTTAGTCTTTTTTCCCTGGAGTTACTCTTCCCCGTTTGAGATCATAGGGAGGGCTGGAGACAGCTGCATTCCTTCTGCAGGAACCTCCCTAAGTCAGATAAAGGAAATTCAGAGGAAGCTCCTCCTGTGCTTCGGGAGGGCAAAGGGGTAAAAGATGGTCAGGGTCTTTGATTGTCCTTCAAAACACTCGGCATGCCAAAGTGCCACACTGTAGCGCATATTTTCTGAGCCCCAACACTAATTTCCTAGGATTTGATTTTAAAACTGTAACTCAGTAAACATCTATTTTGACAGGGGTAGTGCAAAGTATGACCTATTTTTCCCCCCAATTTTTGTCCAGTTATCCCAGCAGCTCTTGTTAAATAATCCTTCCTTACTCTCTTGTTTTGAGACCCCTTATTGTATAAGATCTTCCACAGAATAGAATCTATTTCTGGTTCTTCATTCTTTCCATGGAGGTGTAATTTTATTTTTACACCATTGTCAAACTGTTTTTCTTGCTACTTTGTAATACGTTCTAATATTACATATTAGCGCAAAGGGATTAAACACCACTTGGGAAAAGGAAAAAAAGAAAAAACATCACAAGGTTATTGAGAACGATCAGTGGTTGCCAGGAGCTGGGGAAGAAGGGTTGACCGTGGAGGGGCACAGGGGGCTTGAGCTATTCTCTATCTTGATTGTAGGGTTATACAACTCTGCATTTGTGAAAATTCTAAAAACTGTACCCTAAAATGGGTGAATTTTCCTGTATGTAAATTATACCTTAAAAATGGGGCAAGAGCAGGTACACACAGCACACCACATAAATCTTTAAAACAAACAAAACCCCAAAAGTAAAAATAACAGTTCTTGCAGAGAGGAAAAGCCCTCCAGGGTCAAGCATTCCCCTGAAAATACAAGCTTCTCTGCCTTCCAAAGCCAGTCTGGAAGGCTGAGCTAGAAGACAGACCATCTCTGCGAGCGCTGGGGCTGGGGGCAGCCGTGAGTAATGCAGCCATGGCCTGCCCTCCTCCGCAGAACCTGGGAGCACCAGGGCTCGGCCCAGGAGAGCCACAGCCACCCCCACTGGCCAGGCCCAGGACCTGCTCGGGCCCTGGTATCTTCCTTCCACCTTCCAGGTGCCTCTGAAAGTCCCCTGCCTCCTCTCCGTTCTCTCCTTCCGTAGAAGTCTTTGGTTCAGGCCTGGATGGCCTACATAATTTGCAGGGCCCAGAGCAAAATGCACCTATGAGGCCCTGTGTTTAAGCAGTCTCAAAGAAGCTCAAGATGGGGATAGCAGAGCATCACACCAAGCTTAGGGCCCTTCTAAGCATAGGGCCCTGTGTGATAGCACAGGTCACACACACAAAAAGCTGGTCTTAGTTCTGGCCTTCCCCTTGGCTGCCCCAGGGACTCCTGTGCTGACAGTTCCAGGCTGTCTAGGAACTACCCTGCCTCTCTCACCCTCTTCCAGGCAAGATCCCTCCCTGGGACCTGCCGGATACTTCCCTGTGTCCAGGCCCATCTTAGGATGTCCTCATCCTAGCTGCTCCTGGGGAAATCCCTCCAATCTTTGTGAAAGCCATCCTGGTCTTCCCCTCCCCCACCCCACCACTTGGAGCAAGTGAGCCAGCTCTCCTGTGGCCCTTGACCTCACCTCTCATGACACGTATCACTTTTGGTTTTATTGTAAGAAACATCACATTCTTTTTATTTTCTGAATCCAATATGGAGGCCTAAGCCCCTACCCACTAGGGTGGTGGGTTATCTGTGGGGTCTACACTCTTTGGATAAAGGCTCCCTAATCTCAGAGAAATTTGCTCTCAGATAGGCCCCTTCTGCCCTCCCTGTGCTCTGCTGACGTGCTCATCACCATGGAGGCCCCTCTGTCATCCCCAGCTCTGTATGTCTAAGCTCTCTGGGTTCTCCTCTGTTCCCTTCATCTCCTGCCTTGCCCTGGTCACTATTTGGACTGGTAAGTCCCATGAGGGCAGGGGCCCAGGGGCCTTGGCCACCCTGGCCTTCTCACCTGAGAACCACACCTGGCCCTGAGGAAGGCCCTCGGCACCTCACTGTGGAATGAATGGCAATTGGCTCTGGAGCCCCATGCTTGGCACAGACCTGGCATGGACCAGGTGCCCGAGAATGGTGAACAAACGTTCAGAGTTGGAGCCTCCCACCCCAGTCCCCATCAAACCCATTCTAGTCAGGGGAGAGGGGTCTGGTCACTATTGGCTCCACATCCCCACAGTGCCCTCTGGGGCTGCAGCCGGAGCAGGCTTGGGGATGAAAACAGACGACACTGCCCTGCCCTGGCAACGCACACCGCCCAAAGGAGATGGATACAGACCAACATTACAGCAGCATGGAAAGCGCTGATGGAGAGAGGCGGCTCTGGGCACAGGGTAGGGGGTGACTTCAGGGAAGGCTTCCCTGAGGAAGCAAGACCTGAGCACCCTGAGGACTCTGTCTGGAGGACAAAAGCCCAGAGGGCTAGGAGGCGCTGCTGAGGCCAGAAGGGGGCATAACCATCAGTGACCTTGAAGGCCAGTGTTGGAAGCCTCAAGTGACAAGGCAAAGGGGCCCAGAGAGCTGCTGGAAGGTATGACACTATCAGAGCAGAGAATAGGAGGCACCAGAGGCAGGGAGCCCAGTGCAGGGAGGTGGCCACATTTCTGGACAGAACGGGCTGCCAGGGCCTAGTCTGCTGGGGGAGGGGGCTGAACGGGAGGGCCGAGCCTGAGGCCAGGAGGGAAGGGCTGCCCTGAAGCAGTAGCCACTACAGTGACACCCGTGATCCGCTGGCCCCAGAGCTACCCAGCCTCAGAGCCACCCAGCCGGCTTGGGGACCTGAGAACTGGTTTGCCCAGCATGGATGAGCTAACAGGGATCTGGTTCCGAGACGCCCCAGGTTTGGCTCTCTCGCACCCTACCCCTACATCTGGGCCTGGCCTTGGTTTCTGGCACAGCTGCCAAGTTTTGGTGCCACCCACCCACTCCCTGAGGGCGGTACTGGCCGGCACAGCTCCCTAATTGCTGGGTGGGGAACTGTTCTGCAAAGCTGCTGTACTGAGGTGGACCCCAGCCACTCGGGGGCATGTGGGCACACAGCCTGACCCACTCCTGGCTACAGGGAGGGTATAATCCAGCCTTCAGGCCAGCACCCAGCTCCGGGAGGCCCTCTGGAGCCACTGGCCCAGAGATCTGGGTTTAGAGGAGCCTGTGAAATGGGAATGGGTACCATTCTGACCTGAGTAACCTGGGTGCTGCCTCTCTTCCTCCTCAGGCGTGGGCTGTGATGGCGGTAGGCTAGGCCCAAGGGTCTGCCTGGGTCATAGGCTCCGCCCAGCCTGGCCAGGGCTAAGAGGGACTAGGGCTGGCAGGAAGGAATGGGGCAGAGGGAGGGGCCAGGAGCTGGTTTCCAGAGGCCAGTGCTCCAAACAAACCCCTCGGACACACCCACCATCCACAGGCGCATCCCTACACACACCTGCCACTTACAGAGCCATAAACACACCATCCCCACAGCAGACAGCTCACACACCCTACTCTCTGCCCTGAAAAGTTAGGGCTGCTCAGCTCAACTGGCCATCCACATCCCAGCACAGTGACTCCATTCCACAGCCAGGACCCCCCTGCTGGGCCCGAGAAGCTGTCAGGCATGGCCCTGGAGGACAGGGCAGCCACGGGGAGCAACCTGGGGTTCTCAGCAGACAATTTCTCAAGAGTTTCCCTGAGCTGCCCTATTAGGGAAGGGACTAGACAGATGGCAGACGTCATGTGCCGGCTCCCCTGGGGCACAAAGCACATCTAATTCAACTTGTGCCCCAGCCCCACAAGGTCCCAACACGGCACCTGGTAGACAGTAAGTGCTCCGTGAACGGCAGCCAATGATGCATCCATAAGGAAGGTGAGTTTCGTCAGAGGGAGGGGGCAACACCACTTGCACAGCCACACCGGCCTGTGCTCCAGGCCACCAACCCAGGAGGGGAGCAAAGGCCTAGAGGGGAAGCTGGACCTCTGAGAGGCTGGGGTAGGTGTGGTTTCTAGAGAAGCTGGGACAAGCCTTAGCTGAGAGCAGGGATCAGAAATGACTGGCGGTCCTGGAGCCTGTTACAGGACAGGAGGCAGGGTGCTTCCTTCTGGGAGAGAACTTTCCACAATACAAATCAGTCATATTTTATCCCTGCTTGAGAAATACACCACAGTCCCACTGCCTATGGGGAAACATTCCCATTCCTCACTGTGGTAAAGGCCCTTTACCAAGTGCCCACAGCTTCCCCACCTCTTCTCCTGCACCTTCCTAGGGCCACCCACCCCTACGGAGGAAGGGCCCCACAACCAGACAGAAAGACGGAGGTGGGTTCTGGGAGGGGAGGGCTGGGGCCTTTGGATGCTCCAGCCTAGGCTGTCTTAGGCTGGCCCCAACCCCAGCAGGGACCGAGGCACCTGGGGGCCCAGACTTCCCACCATGAGAACGGTTCACATTCTCAAAGTGGCTTGCTTGACTTGCCCTTTTATTTTTCTGGAGCTCCCTGGTATTGTTCCTGCTGAAAAATCCACTGGCGCTGAAGAAAGGAATCTCAGCCCACACAGCAGCTGAGAACCGTGTGCTGCTGGGGCAAGGAGTGCGAGCCCTCCGCCCCAACACACACGCCCAGCAGATGCCAGACAGGTGCGGGAGCCATGGGATGAGCTGCAGCCCTGGTCAATGCCCAACCCCATCCACAGTCCTCTGGACTCAGGCCAGGGACAGCCTCAACGTACCCCTGGGGACTCCTCGTGAAAAACATGGTTTCATTCCGAGGGAGGTCAGTGTTCCCAGCCCAGCCTCCTTCTGTGGAGATGGCCTTGGCCCAGGGCTGCAGCCTCCCTCCCTCACGCCTGCCCTTCTGCACTGCCCTTCTGCACTGCCGGGCTCCAGACTCCCCAGCCTCCTGCCCTGGGCCACACCCACTCCAGGAAGCAGGGCTGGGCCCTGCCTGGGTGCTCTTCTACCAGGAGGGCCTTGCCCTGGCTCCTGCTGCAGGCACCCTGCCCAGCCCACAGCCCCACTGGATCCCTCCTCTCCACGGGCCTCCCCAGCCCTGGGCTGGCCTCTGCAGGTGCTGCCCTAGACCAGTGTAAGGGAGGGCTGAGCCGGCGTCTCAGGGCGCCTTCTGACAGTGTATCTGCTGTCGGCTCATTCTACTGGCCTCAGATCTTGGAGGACTCGAGCCGAGGACTCCAGGGCGTGGGGGGCTCCCTCAGTGCCCGCAGTTCCTGCTCCAGTGCCTGGTTGCGGCGATACATGTCCATGTAGCCCCCCTGGATCTCCCGCTGGTAGCGTAGCACACGCTCCTTCTCTTCCTGCCAAGTCCGCCGCTCCTGCTCGAAGCGCAACGCCTGCTCCTGGCCCCGGAGCCGCTCTTGCAGCAGCTCAGCTCGCAGCTGCTCAGCACCATCTCTGGCTTCACTGCTTCCTGCCTCCCCCAGCAGCCCCCTGCTCTTACAGTCATCAGTCTCACAGCTGCCTGGGGCCTCCTCCCGAGGGGCCTGCTCCTGCAGGCTGCGCACCACCTCCCGCAGCTGGGCCAGCTCTGTGTCCTGAGCTTGGGCTTGTGCCCGGCTGCCCCGAAGTTGCGTCTTCAGACTGAAGATCTCGGCCAGCTTCTGGGCCAGTTCCGCTTGGGCTTCCCGCAGCTGCTGCTTCAAGAGGCTAATCTCCGCTGTCTTCTGGCACACCTAGAGTGGGGACAGGAGCAAACCTGGGTGAGGGGAGCTGGTCATGGGGCAGGCAGAGGATTGGGGCCATGGCAATGGGGAGCCCCCGGTTGTCTCTCACCTCCCATCGGGCTTCCTCCTCTGGTCGTGTGCTGAGGTCGGCCTCTGGGAGGGTGCCAGGGGGCCGAGGCTCGGGAGCCAGGCCCTGTTGAGCCCGCAGTTCCTTGCGCAGGCGCCGCTGCTCCTGCTGGGCCATGAACAGCTGTAGCTGGAGGTTGCGCTCGCTGCGCTCGGCCTTCTGGGCTACCTCGTGCAGCCGCTCCACATACAGGCGCTTCAGCTCAGACAGCCACAGCCGCTGGCGCTCCTCGAGAACCTGCCGAAGGGAAGAGGCGCCCACTAGAGCCAGTGCAGCCATGCCCGGTATCCACATGTGGCCCCACCCCCACTCCCACAGGGCCAGGGCCCAGCGCCCAGCCACACAGATATCCCAACCTGGATGCCCTCTAGGGGTGAATTGTCCCCAACACATGGCTCTCCAAAGGAGCCTCTCTCCCTCCTTCCCACACGACTCCCAGGCAAGGACCACCAGAGATATGACATCCTCTCCACATGGGATGTGGGGAAAAGAAACAGAGACATCGCCCTCTTTCTTACTCTCTCGTGTCCAGAGCCATGCGGGTGGGCTAGCTGGGGCCCGTCTGGCCTGTACTCCAGTGCCAAGGCACAGAACAAGATTCCAGGGCAGGACCTTGCTTACCTGCGTGAAGGCGCTGGAGCCATCCTCAACACCAAGGCCCCTCTTCAGCTCCTCATAGGTCTCCGGCAGCACAGCCACCACCTCCTCGGCGGTGGGGCAGGAGAACTCATAGGGCGGCGGTGGCTCGGGCAGGCAGCTCAGCACAGCCAGTGGCCCGGCCTCCTTGGGGCTTCTTGAGGCCCGGTCCAGGGAGCCGCCAAGATGGTTAATGTGGCCCAGGGAGGAGCTGAAGGGGCTGGGGCCAGTGCCAGGGCTGCGGCCAAAACTACCCCCACTGGAGGAGTCAGACAGGCTGGGCTCAGGCTCGGGGCCGCCCTCATCCAGGCTGAGGGCGTGAAGCAGCTGCGCACGGGCCTGGCTGGCCTGGGGCCCTGGGCTAAGGGGCGGGTGGCAGGCCAGCGTGTGCAGGCTGCCATTGCTGCGCCACAGCTTCTGGCCCTTATGGGCTGCCAGGCCCTGCGTGGACAGGATGCCTTTCCCGTTGCCCGCTGCAGGCTTGAACACAGATGGGCGAATTCGGCACTGCCAGGAAGAGAGGGTAGGTGTGAGGCCCTGCGGGGACCCTCTCTGAGAACAAGGGCACAGACCACTAGGGACCAGCCCTTACCAGGACCTTCACGTCTTCTCAGCCCATCCTGTCCCTACCCCACCCCCTCATCAGGGTCTCCAGGGAGGTCCACCCTCCCCATGCCACGTAAAGGGTGTAGGCAGAGGCACACCTTGTCAAAGCGACCCCGCTCAGGCAGAGAAGTCTTACTGAAGTCACCAGCCCAAGGATGTTCCCTGTAGTAGGTGGCATAGTCAGCAGGCTCATTCCGAGGGGCCCGCTTGGTGGTCTTGCCATCCTTCTTGGGGAGGTGTAAGTAGCTGAGGAGCTCACGCTGGCCCAAGCCCTTCCGGAGGAGCCCATCAGGCTGGCGGGAGCCCCGGGACCCGGCGAGTGCTGCCCGTAGCTCTTCAGAGGAAAAGTCCTGCCGTTCCAATAGGCTGCCCACGCTGCCCATGGCAATGTCAGCAGGCACTGGGGCTGTGGCCATGAAGTTTCAACAGGGCACAGGCAGCTGCTTCTGGGAATTGGGAGGCTCCATTAGGGGCAGGTGGGCACTTGTTGCCCAACTCCCCTGATACCCAACAGCTAGGTGCTTGCTCTCTGTAGCTCCCACACCTGGCCCAGGAGAGGCAGAAGTGGGCCCTGGAAAGAATCCCAGGACAGGATTCCTAGACTGCCAAGAGAAAGGGGTGCAGGCTTCAAAGCCACCTGCCCTCTATCACCATGTTGGACTAAGTCCAAGGAAAAGCAACGGTTCTCCAGCTGGGGGCCTGTGTGTGATTCAGAGGTATGGGGGCGTCACTGCAGCTATAGGACAAGGGCCCTCCTCCCAGGACTGAGCCAGCAAAGGGCTAGGGAAGCCCGACTCAGGCTGTCCAACCCTGACCTTGCCTACTTCCCTGCTGGGTTCCCCTCATTTGTGGGTGGGGATAACCCACTCAGCCCTTCCTCCTGCACAGGGGCAGAGCTCTCTAAGGGAAACATCTGGCATGGTTTCGGTGGGGGCTCCAGGGGGAGGGACACAAACAGGAAGGGCCAAGGGGAGGAAGGATGGCATGAACAATGGCCACAGTTTCCGGAACAGGTGTTCTGTCTGGGAAATGGTCGGGGACAGAGGGAGGGGGTAGGTAGACCCCTGCCAGCCCTCACATATGCTGTTTCTCCAAAGCCCACCACCAGGCAAGGTGGTCCCAAATCCTGACCCTGGCAGAGCCAATTGGTGTGTGACCTCAGCCAAGCCACTAACCTCAGTGAGCTCTGGCTTCCTCACATGTGCAATGGTGGTGACAGCATTTAGCACTCTGGGATGCTGGGAAGACGGATGAGATGATGTGACCAAGTACCCAGTCCAGGCTGCCCACCGCTGGGGTCAGCACAGGCTGGCTGAAGCCGAGCTCAGTGAGACACACAAGCACCACCGAGCGACCAGGCTGACAGACCAGCTCCCACCCGTGCTGGGCCGTGCACTCTGGAGGAGGGGGCTGGCACCTAGCCCCCACAGACCCCATGCACAGCCCGGGGCCCGGCACATAGTAGGTGCTCAGAAAGGTGCTGCCGAGTGAAGGAATGCCACGTCCTCCGCCTCCTGCGCTCGAGCAGCTGCTGCCATTCTGGAACAGCCCTGCAGCTGTGAGTCCCCCTCACCCGCCCAATATACTTCCGGGACACCCACTCCCACCCCAAACAATGGTTGTTAGGAGGCTCCATCTTCCTCCACCATTTCCAGGTTTTGTGTTTGTGGAAGACAAAGCTCTCCAGGAGGGGTGGGGAGGCGGCAGGCCTTAACCTCACCCCCATGACCCTTAACCTCATGCTGGGCAAAAATAACCTTTTCAGCCTCTCCTCCCAGCCCTGAGATGGGGGCCAGTCTGAGTTTGTACAGCCTACTCCCCCAACCCCGTGTGAACAGGTGTCATGGGCCGCACAGGTTTGGGGGACTCAGCCAGGTAAGGAATCACAGGAGGTGGGCCCCTATAGCCATGCAGCCCTGCACAGCAGTCTCAGAGTCCTGTGACATCCTTATTGTCCTTTTTTAAAGGTGAGGTCACAGAGCTGGTCAGGGCAAGGATGCCTGGGATCCCAGCACCACAGCTGCCCAATGTCTGGGGGGGCCAGAATGTCACCTCCCACAGCCAAAAGAATTGGAATTGAATCATCCTGCTTCTCCACCTGACACCGCCTCACCATGGCGAGCACACCCCCAAGAAACACTGCTCTGTCCAGGAGCACACTGAGCTCTTGTCACTCTCGTCACTGCTTCGGAACTGCGGAGACTCAGCTTCAACATCTCTGAGATGGGAAAGGCTCTGCCTGCCCTGCCTTCCTCATCGGATTAGCGAGACCACTGCAGACAATGCAGGAGAAAGGGCTTGTGAACCGTGAGTTCTGTGTGGCCAGGGGGCGGGGATGTCAGTAGCAGTTCCAAACACCGCGTGGTGTCCCCTGGGCAGATGCTCAGTTCCTGTCTCAGGGAGACATAACCAACATCCCATCTTCCCCACGAAGCATCTCAGATCTGGGGGAGAGTCCCTGAACTAGAGGTGGCTATAGGCCACAGCAGTGCATGCCACCACACACAACACAGTGTTACCTGTCAGTCCCACCCAGCAGCACAGAGACACAGTGGACGGTCATGTCCAATGGCAGAGGCAGTGATGCACTAGGTCACCCACACAGCACTGAGCACCTTCCAGGACACAGACATGACACAGGAGCACCCCAGCATGAAGACCCAGAGGTCCTCCCCAGCCCCAGGATACAGGCCTTTGCATGCGTCTGTGTGGGGAGTGTGGCACTGGCTGTCGCAAACAGCTAGGGAGCTCAGTGAAGAGGGAACGGTCAGCCCCTTCCCTTTCTTTCCTGAAGCCCCCACTGCGCCCCCCTGCCCTTCCCGGTAACTCCTCTGGCTGTATTGTCAGCTGGCCCAGCAGTGCCAGGGGCCCCCAGCTTTCAGGAGGCTCCTTCCTGCCCAGGTCAGTCTGGGGATAGTCCCTTTTTGTAAAGGCGTCCATCCCACCTCCACCCCCTCCCCACAACACACACATTCCTTCCTTCCTGTTGCTTGAAGCCCAGGGACTGCCCCATCAGGCCCGGGCAGCTGTGCAGGCTGGGCTGGAGAAGATTTAGGGGGAGGAGGGAAGGAGGACAGCAAGTGCCTTGCAGCCGCCCTGGTAGGTCAGAGCAAAAAGCTGGGGCTTCCTCCAAGTGCCTGGGCTTCCCTGCCCAGAGCTGAAAACCGCCCCCCAGCACCCAGCTGGCTAGGTTCGGGCCGGGCCACTCCAGCCACATTCTTCACAGGTCCCAGCAGGCCCCAAAAGGGTCCCTTCACTCCTGTTCTCCCCAGCCCCCATCCCCAAGACTAGCAGCAGACTGAAAGCACAGGAACAGCTCTTGCGGACCAACCCTCGCGTGCAGCTGTGAGAACAGACTGCCCTCGCCATGAAGCAAAGAAAGAGAGCACACACAGAGGGCGTCCCCGTGCCTGTTAGTGTGCCATCCTCACGATGCACACAGGTGGTGAGTTTTGTCACCTCTTACTTCAGAAGAGGAAACTGAGGCCCAGGAGGTGAAATAATGTGCCTAAGGTCATGTTCAGCTGTGTGGGAGAAAGTACACAGGCTCTCCAGGTTTAGAAGTCCCTCCTGACCCCACTTTGCATCTCCTCCGAGGTGGGACACTCCAGCCCCCACACGGGTAGGAGCCTTGGCCTGGCCCTGGGGGAGGGTCCCACCACCTGCTGGGGATCAGCTCTGCGGAGGGGTGTGTCTGCAGCTGCCCCACAGGAATGGGACTGGAATGTCCCAGATCCAGAAGAGGGGGCAGTGGGCAAGGGGGCCCACAGAGGGGCTGGGAGAGGCTGGCATACCCTACTCCCACAGCGACATTTGAGGAGGCAGAGTGGCTAACCCCTGCAGGAGTGGTTCTTAGTATCACTATAGTCATTCGCAGTTACGCAGCACACTACAGTTTTTCCCAGCCTTCTTTTTCATTATCTCTTTTCATCTCCACAAGAGCCCTGTAGGGGCTAACAGGACAATTACCCTCACTCCATTTTACACACAGGGAAACTGAGGCCTAGAAAAAGGGAGTGAGTTATCCAAATCCCACAGCGAGGAGCAATCTCAACTCCCTGGGCAAGGTCCTCCCTACTGCATCAGGCTGTCCCAGCCATGGCTCACAGGTTCCCCTCCACGAGCGCACACCGCTGCGTATGAATGTCTGCCCAGCCCTTCACGCGCGTCTCTCAAGGGCATCTGCAACCAGGCTGGCTTGTACTGCAGTACCCTCAGCCGAGAATCCCTCCTGCCTGACCCCCAGGGCAGGAAGAGAGAGGAAGCACTGCAAGCCCCCATGCTAGCTCCAGCTCTAGAGGCGGTGGCGGGAGGTGGCGGGAGCAGGCTGGCCGCATGCATTCAGTCTCGCACATACACACCCACACAACCAGTTGGTGGAGGAGCCCTGCCTGGGAGGGCGCTGGGAGGAGGCTGATCACCGGGCCCAGGACTGCTGCCTGCCTCTGCTCCCAGGCCAATCTGCTCCTACGTGGCTGAGGTGGGGGCCTGGTTGAAGACAACAAGTCCCAGTCTCCTTTCTGGATACAACCAGGGCCCTGATTTCGGCCTGGCCCCTGGCCAGCCCTCGCTTTGGCCAAAGGCTGTGGCCAGGACTGGAACGGGTGCTCCGACCGCCAAGACCTCAGAATGTCCCCTCGGGTCCGCCGCTGCAGCCCAGACGGAGCAGGGGGTTAGGGGAGGAAAAGGGTAGAGGGAGGCGAGAGAGGACAGGTGGGAGGTCTCATGGGGGAAGGCAGAAGGGCAGACGAGATTGGCATCCCTACGGAATTGCCCCCAGGTAGGCAAGAGTGGAGGCGAGGGCTCCCCCAAACTGCGGGAGATCCTCGAGCTACCTGAGGGCGGGGTCGGGGGGCGCGTCTCCTTCTGGCCCCTCCCTGGGGCCAGCCGGGAGCGCTGAGCAGGGGGGTGGAGGCCGAGGTCAGACTCCCGCGCCAAGGACGCCTGCCTGCCCCACCCAGCCGTGGTGCAGGGGTCCCGCGCGCTGCTCCAAGGAAAGCGCCTCTGCAGGGGTTGCGAACAGAAAGGTAACCTGTCGCCTGTCCCTCCAGCGGAGCGTCGGGGTCGGTCCCGGATCCCACGCCTCGGTGCCTCAGTGTCCAGAAGCAGGGGCACCTGGGCGCACACCGCACCCTGCCACCCCCGCCCGTTTCTCAGATCGAAGCCTGGGTCAGCTGGGGCTGCGGCTTGGCCAAGGACGCCGAAAACAGAGACCTCGGCAACCCGTCCCACACCCCGAGTCCAGCCCCCGATCCCCGGCCCCCCTCGCGCCCCACTTACCATGCTGGCGCCGCGCTAGCCGACCCGCCGCGCCGCACCCTTCGCGCGCTGCAGTTCCCTCGCGAGGATTTGAACCCTCCTCCAAGACGCCGGCTCCGACCGAGACTGCGACCCGGGTCGGAGCGGTCGTGCGGCAGGCGCCGGGAAAACGCGGGCGGGCGGGCGC